TTCTCCTTCAGAGGGAAGCTTTGGCAAAACTGTGAGAAGCTGACAAAAGTGACTTCTTACGCCAGTAAGTAGACTTTACAACTGCTGCCTTGGTTTTTACTCTTTGGGAGCTACAGGCTCTCTGGGCCATCCTCTTCATCATTAGAGAATAGCAGACCAGCACAAAAAACCAAGGAGAGCTGGGCTTGGTGGCACCAGCATTTTGGAAGACAGAGACAGGAGGATTTCAAGTTCCAGCCCAGCCTAGGCAAGAAAATTAGAAAGAAACACACACACACACACACACACACACACACACACACACACACACAGAGCCATTTGAGCTAAGATGTGCATGAGTGCAGATGGATGAAAAAGAGAAAACAAATTTTCATCATGTTGGTGATGCATCCATGTTTCTTACATACTAGAATAATGATGATTTCATTTCCTAGCTAGTTACATGTTTCCATGAGCCTGCAAAAAAGCACAGTGGTTCTATTTCTGTTCAAGAATTCTCTTCTATTGGACTACCAGGTGAATAAGAGAATCCTAGAGCAATGCTTACCATTGTAATAAATATGCTTTGCTGGATATGTTACATTTCTTTTATATTGATATATTTTCACCATCACATAAGGTAAAACAGATACCCCAGTTCTTCCCCTGCTATTTATGCTCTTTGTTAATACAAATGAGTCAATGTTTTAATGACTTGGCCTTTTATGTGTGGTCATTGTGATGTACATCTGGTGAATTAGGGTCAAAGGGATCAGAGTTCAAGCAAGGTCACAAAAGGCTGAGTGACATTATCCACTTATCTCTAACCCTTGTTTCACCCACCACTACTGCTTTTGAGGGAAGCTCAGAGTTTAGGGATTTATGTAGCATGGAGAACTTCTGTGCCATTACTGAATATGCTTCTGTTTGCCACACAATAAAATGGCTTCCAGACACACCAAGAACCTATCCCTGTCAGCTGCTAGATGCCCAAGGTTTCTGTTGAAGATGAAGATACACCCTTCATTCCCTCAGAGAGGAAGTTACCCTGGTTCTTTCCATTCAATTAGTAGACGGACCATGGGCCTTACTATCCAAACTATGACATCTCTGAGAATGAAAGAGTGGACTCTGAATAACTGTGTCCCAGTAACAAGTACAAACAAAGAGCTGTTTCAGGTAGATTACAAAATAAAGTCACCATATCTGCTGGCTTTGGTCTTGTTGCCATATGAACAGAGCCCTCTTTTCTTCAGAACTTTGATTAAATATAAGCACAGAAAGTCACTTGATAGCACAGCAATCATCTTTACTTATGCATTTGTACTTATTTATTTTGTGAAAGATTGCTCTCTATCCATCTCTGGGCAATTTCCCTTAAAATGTTGTTTCTGCAACAATCATTCACATTTTCCCCGAATTTAATAGTTGTCATTGATACGTAATTTCTTCAGGGATTTAAGCATTACAGCTCTCCACCATATTTTGATTACAGGTGACCTTTTATATCTGGGGGAATCTGTGTTGCTAAAAATAAAAATCATCTTATACATGTTTTCAGTATGCAGGAAGTTTCTGAATTCACAACTTGAATCCAATCCCTATGCCTTGATTAATTCTTAAAGAATCGTTATTCTCCTCTTGCTCTGATTGCATCATCGGATTCTGAGTATCACCTTGGATGTCATGACATGGTGATGCAGTGAATGCGAAAATAATGTAAAGAGTAAAATAACTGTGAGAGGCACCAGAAGTGGTGGGAATCTTGCTGGAGAGCTGGGTTAGAGTAAACACGGTAAGGGGGATGCTTGGTTTACCTCCTGTCGCTCATCCCCCTCCACCTTTCTAAATCCTAAAGCTATTTAAATTTCAATAAATTTAATTTAATGTTAAAAATACACGAGCTGGGCTTGGTGGCACGTGTTTGTAATCCCAGCACTCAGAAGGCTGAGGCAAGAGGATCCCCAAAAGTCAGAGGCCAGCCTGGGCAACATAAGGAGTTCAAAGCTAGCCTAAACTACCTGGTGAGATCCTGTCAGGGGAAAAAAAAATTATCTTGGAAATTGGCCACTCTTGGCTAGAAGTTAGTATACTGAACTGAGACGGTGTGGAACATTTCCTTTATTCCCCAAAGTTCTGCTGAATGGTGCTTACTCCCAGTAGAATCAGTAGCAAACCTGATTTTTTTTAGCTTTTTTCTCTTGAAAACAGGTAGTAAGAAATGATTTAAAATTTTCTCACCAAAATGGAAATTATAAATAATTGAGGTCATCCTTGAGCATATTAGGCTGATTTGATTATTCCACGATGTATAAACTGTGGAATGTGAACCTTGCAATGTATGCCATAATTACAATGCACAATTAAATAATACATGCACAATTAAAAGTAAAATTCTAAAAAAGAAGCTCCTTTCTCCTTATCTCCATTTTTCAGTGAAAGCTGGCCCCAGGAGTATTTCCTGATGAGACAGACAAGGCAGTAACCCCATTTCTTCTTGCAAGGGTCTGGCTGATGAATTCACCTGGCATGTAACCCAGGTGTACCAGCCTATGCTCTATCTACACTTGTTTGTCTGCAGCAGTGCTGGCGATCTTTGTGGAGGCTGAGCACCCAAAGTGCAACCCCAAGCCCATTCATTAATCACAAAGTGCCAACACTGCAATTAAACCTGAAAACTGAGTTTTTAGTTTTTAAAAAATACAATAACATCTTTTGTCTTAAAAGGAAAACACAGTGAGAGAGTTTTCAGTGATACAAACAGCTTTTTATTGAACGGTCAAGTTTGCATTTGGCATGCTTTTGCACAATTAATGCAACCTTTGCTGTTGCATGCATGCTAATGATTTGTCAATCTTTGGCTGGGGTACCTTGATTCATGACACAGAGAGGGCTCTGCATGCGTACTGCCACACAGCTGCCACACGTTCACCATAATTGGTTTAGAGGTATCAAGAAATATATGTTAAACCAATCAGACTGAAGGAACTGACCTTTACTCCTGATTGGAGTAAATGTCTTATCTCCCCTGATGTATAGCAATAAGGAAAAACTGTGCTCCTCTTCCAGCTGTCAGTGGACCTACTTCTGGCCCCAGCTCTACTTCTGGATCTTTTTCTAAAGTGAGAGGATAAATCTGCTTGTTTACACCCACTTGAAATTGGATCTTTTTTACTTGCAACTCAGAGCGCTTCAACCAACCCATCTGAAATCTTGTCCTGTTTATGCTGCAAAACAGTCCTTGAATGACCTTGAATGACTCCTGTAACCTTGCCGGGACTTGATTTCTTAATGTGCAAAAAAGCAATTAGTGATCGGAGAGGCTGTTAAAACCCAAGGCTTGCAGGAAGTTCAGAATCAGCAATGAGAAGTTGTAACAGCAATGATCCTCACTGGAAGTTCTTAGTGACCCCATTGAAAGCACTGTTATTGGTAGAGTCCTGGCCACGGAGGCGTGACTAACCCATGCCACTTGTCACGGAGCTCTGCGGGCTCTCAGGAAGAGCTGCTCTCTCATTCCTCACGTGGATACTGAATACATCATGCTTTAGGGAGTGTTGATTTTTAGTGCTGGTGATTCATGAGCTCCCGCTGTCTTTCTGAGATGTATGCTTGATATTAACACATTTCAATGCAATGCTTTTAATATGCCCCATCCAATGTACTCCCCCCCCCTATTTTCTGTGTGTTATCCATGGAATGATGTATTTGTAACTGATTTATGAAAAATGTAATCCCCTGTACTTCCTCCTAAGCAGTGGAATCTACTGCAATGTGGTACTTTTAGAATTCATTATCTTCCTACCTTCCCGCATTACTCGTAAAGGGTTCTGGGGAACACATATTCTACTTTTTTACTGGCCATTTGTTCCCAAAGCCAAGTGTCGTGATATCATTCTAATTTATCTGCCCTGATCATTTCTGTATTCACTCAGTGACTAATACTGTCAAGTTTATTATCTTGAATTCATTGCCTTTCTAAGGGCCTTTCCACCCTTGATTCGGTTCATCTGGATTATTATATTAGCTCTTAAACTATTTCCCTGCCAAATACATAGGTTCTTCGGGCTATAACATGCCTTTGAGGACTGACTCTGATTGTATTATTTCCCAGCTCCAACTCTTCGGTAACTTCTTATTTTGTTGCCTTAAGGGTCCACTCAACCTTTAACGTTACCCAAGAAGTCCCTATCGCCTGACAACTGTTGCATATCAAGTCTGCCTTACCACCACCTTGGCTGCTTGCCACAGGTGTCATTGTCTCTCATTATCATGAATATGTGCATGCTGTTCATTCTGCTTGCTATTCCTTCCCTGTCCTCCATCCACACAGTGCTTCCTGTCTATCCACCAGGTGCCTCCATCTTTCCCAGGCAGGCCCATCACACCCTAATTATGATCCAGGGCAATTCATGTCAGTCTCGTCCATTCTCTGCCACGATAAGAGCTTGGTGAAAGCAAAGATCATGTTTACAGTCTTACACCTGCCAACCTGTTTAATATTGTATCCTAGGCCCACTCTTCTTTACCTTCTTGTACAATACTTAGCACCTTCTTCCTATATAAATTTCTTGTGTCCCTTGATTGGTGTTTTACTCTCTTCGATACAGATATTTGTCAATTTCATCCACTCATGTATCCCAAGCGCCTAGACCACCGATATCTCACGTACAGGCTGCTCTACAAAAATCTTTCATGGATAAATAGACATATTTTTGTATCTTTGGAAATTGGCACAGTTCCCAGAAAAAAAATCTTAAATATGTAAATAAACATTTTCTATTGTCCAGTTTTTATAACACTCAAAATCATAGGAGCTGATGTTTTCTGAGTTCTCACTGTGCTCTAAATGATTTACAGGCTACTAGTTTGAGTTGCAGGATATTTGAGGCTTTGAGAAATCAAGCAACTTGCCCAAGGTAAATAAGCAGTGGAGCTGAGATTCAAAAATGAAGTTTGACTCCAAAGGCCACAATCTTCAAAAGTATATTGTTCCACCTCAAATAATCAGTCACAATTATGTGCTTATTTTCCTTGTCATTACATACTCTTTCCGGCTGGTATATTTTTAACCTCAAATACAAGCAGCTGACCTTGGAGCATAAGAGGGAGGAAAAGGACAATTTGTGTTAGAATTGTGTGTTAGATATATTTTTCAGGTACGTTTTTAATGAAAACCAACAATGCTTGTGGATTGTTTGCTGACTCATCCAGAAAGAGCGAAACTGAGGCAGGTGCTGCTTTTCCCAGCTTGCAAGTGTTCTGAAGATGCTTTTCCACGCAGATGTTGACCAACTTATTTCTCCTTCTCCCCGGAAGCATGGTGAGGGGAGCGTAGAGAGAAGTCATGCCTTCCGTTCTACTGCTCTTTCTCTAGCTTCGCCAGGAATGGAATGTCATTACCTTAAGAACTCAGTGACCTGTCCGCAGTTGACAGAGTCACCTATAACTCGGGTCTGCCCCCCACCCGACTCACACTGCATTACCAGGAATGTAAAGGGACCCAGGTTTCAACGCTGAGAGTGCTGTCAGGGGCAACTTTTACCTTCCAATATCATCATCATCATCATCATCATCATCATCATCATCATCATCATCATTTTCACTATCAATACAATCCCTTCATGCAAGGATTTACCTTCTTTCTGAGCCTGTGGCTTTACTACAGAACTTGGGTTACCAAATCCAGAGTAAGACAGCAGCTAATAGGCACTGCACATAATGTTTTTTAAAATAACAGTAAGACTATATGGCTTAACAGAAAATAAGATGCCTTTTATGTAGTATGTATGTTATCACACTATATTTTCTATTAAGATATTTTGAGATTTCTATTCATCTTAGTCAATGTCCTTCAAAAATCCCATCTTTACTAGGTGCTCTAAGTGTCAACATGATCACTGTGACCATTTTTTTTCATACTGAACTTTCAAGTTGTTTCAAACTGCAAATAATCTTTCAATGAATATCTTTGCACATAAATTGTATCCGTTACTTCTTAGAAGCCATTTCTAGAAAGAAAATTACTAGGTATAAGGATAATGGTTTTACAGCTTATATTACATGTTGCCAAAATGCTTTCAATAACATTTATGCCACTCATAACTCTCAACTGGGTAGGAAGGTGACCACTGAAAAATCCTCTTGCCCTCACTGAGTAACAATCCTTCTGAAAATTTTAGATAGGAAAGTGTTTCTAGCTTAATGGTGGAGAATTTGTCTAGCCAGGCACTAGGTTTAACCTCCAACACTGCAAAATGAACAACAAAAAAACCCCAAATAAATAAATTTCAGATAATGATATGGTATATATTTGTCTTATTCTCTTTTTGTGATTAATAATGTGCTAGAAGTTAGTGCCTGTTTGTAGACACTTTGTTGTTTTATGTATTAGAACATTAGTTCTTGCCATATTTACTAATATTTTTAGTCAATTTAAATTTAATTTTAGTTGTATTCCTAAGTCTTCTTGTCATGCAAAAGTGCTTAATCTCATGCAATTAGGAGTATTACATTCTAAGTTTTGTTACCTAACTTGGTATTTGGGTTTTCAAGACTAGTGAGTAGCAATATAATCTGGTGAGTTTTAATGAATCATTTTGGAGCAGTTTCCAAATTATTGATCATGTGAAAGTTAGATTTATATGTTTCTACCATTGTATTTTTAATTTAATTATTTTTCAGAAACAAAAGAAACACAACTTCTATATCTTTTAAACTGTTAGGTGACCCTGCTCTTGCTTGGGAGCAGAAACAGGGGCTTGATGGGCTCTGGGGTCCAAGCTCCTCACCCAGTGAATCCCCTCCAGTGCTGAAGACCCTGCTACAGCTCTTCTGTCCTCCCCACCAGCACCCTCTACCTCTGAAGACACTGGGTGTGAAGTGACGTCAAGGTTCTGGCTTCCATCCTCATCAAAATGCTTAAGCTCTTTCTAATAGCACACACATCAGTATCATGGGATGCTGGGCTCTGAACCCTTGTGATTGGATTTTATCCTTGTGTTATCAGAAGGCAAAGGTCTCCTTAGATGGCAGAGCTTACGGAGAGGCTCTCCTTATCAGCTGTTAAATTCTGCACAGGGTGTGTCAGAGCCTCAAAACTGGAGCTGACCTCCCCTGAGGGATGTGGGATTCCTGAAGGACAAAGCTTCTCCCCAGGGGAGGGGCCACCAACATAGTGCAGGGTCAGCCAGTCACCAGGTTCATGACAGGGGGCTTTCATGGGAAGTTTTGGATAAAATACTCGGCAGATTCTTATTGGAAGTGTGATTGCATAAATCTGTGTGTGTGCTCAGTGCTGCACACACACACACACAAATACGGACAAACTGGAGTGCTATGGAGGAATCCACAAAAAAATTTATATACTGAAAGGAAAAGCTCAGTTGCTTGGCTACAGTTAAAGAATGTAAAACTAGTGTTTATTGAAAACATCTATGGTCACTGCCCCTTTCAGAGAGGAACCGGAGGGGCTCAGCTCTCCTATGCAGGGTACCTGAAGAGCCCAGGAATCAGGCATTTTTTTCCTTGTGCTATCTATGCCTTTGAGATCATAAGTATTTCTTTGCACCTGTGTAAAATCTTGCTGGAGATACTGTCTGACATCAGGAGGAGGCAAAGCAGTGCTGCTGACATGCATTCAAATCTTTCCCTGTGACTTTCTAGTGTGTTGTCCTGGCCAAGCATTGGGTTGATCTTGCCAGAAGCTTCCTGTATGCCTAGTACAGGATGATGAAATGCACATCTGTATCTTTTGAAGATGACTCTGGGTAAATTAAGTATCTATTGTTTAATACGCCTAACTGATATATTAAATGAATCTATTAGCACTTAACAAATATCAGTTTCTGCAACATTCCTGCGCGTTATTCAAGACCTAGCCTTCTTTCATAAGTGTTTTTCTCCTACCTTGTGAGTGAGTGTTTCTGGCTAAGGTAAAGGGGAGAGGTGAGTAGTTTGGAGATGTTGTCTGATTGGGTGCTTCTAGGGAGAGGGGTTTGACCCTGAAGTGGCACCTGACTGATTTCACCTTCTGATCAAGGACACAGCAGCTGTTAGTAGTCAGTCTTTGGGCTTTTTGTAATCTTGAGAGCCATGGAAAATGCGGTGGTTCTTTTGAGATTAACAGGAAAATATTATTGCCAGATTTCTGGTGAATACTTTCCCTCCAGAAATCTTCGATCCAAAAGAAGTTCCGTGTATTAGTTACTTCCTCATTGCTGGGACAAAATGCTCAACTTCCACAAGTTAAAGGAGGAGAAAGATTTATTTTAGCTCACAGTTCATAGAGATTTCAGTCTATAGTCAGCTGGCTCCAGGGCAGGGTGACATGGCACAGGGGCATGGCAGAGGAGAAATATTCCATGGTAAGGCAGGAAGAAAGCAGCAGCAGCAAGCCTCCCTTTCCCTTTTTATTCCATTCAGGCTAAAAGCCTAATGACTGTTGTCACCCACACCCAGGCTGGGGCTTCTGTCTTCAGTAAATCTATTTAGCCATACCTGTGTATACCTGATAACTAATCCAGTCAGCGTGCTAATCCAATTAATCAATACCCATGATCTAGTCACTCACAAAAGCCCTACCTAGGAACATATGAGGCTTTGGGGGACATTTTATATATAAACCATAAATGTCCTATGCCTATGTTTCAGCCTCATGACTGTCTTCTTCCATAGATGCCACATTGCCCAAAATCCAGCTGTTTCTTGTGAGGAATTTGTGATAATTTTAGATTTTGCCCCTACTGTTTTTTCAGTTATTGTCAAAATCATGCAGGATAGAATGAGCCAGCCTGCTGTCTCTGTTGTGTGGTTTTAACTATGGCATTGTTTGAGGGTGGACCAATTTGAGAAAATTATTCATTTTTCTACCCCAAAACCTCTGAAACAGTATTTTAAACAAGAAATTTTATTTATATACAAAATGAACAACAACAGAAGAACAAAGGGCAGTATAGGAAAGCTAGAAACACCATATACTGAACAATTTATATACAGGAAACATAACACAAATATCATTTTCATTCAAAAACTTATCTCTACATCTTCCTTTTGACAGTGACACATAGTGAAATTTTCTTATAAGTTTGTTTTTTAGTTAATTTTTTCCTTTTCTATTTGCGATTTCTGACACTCTATTGTTTTCCTGGGCCAGAGGTCTGTGCTTAATTCTTTTCTTTACATGCTGCACATAAAGAAACAATACAAACAAGAAATACCATTTAGCTTGACAACTTACCTTATTTAGTGTCTTAAGAAATAAGAGGCTGAGATTTTATTTTAATGCTGAGGAAAGAAAATAAATGTTAGTATCATATCCATTGTAATTGGCTTTGCAATAATATAATCATGTTGTTGGTAAAAGTACACCTTTTAAAGCAGAAAGAGCTAAGCTAAAACCCAAGACTTTTGTACTCTAAAAAACTGAAAATCCCTTGGAAGGATCTTTATTTACTTAAATTTTGGTTTTCTCATTGAATCAAGGAACTTAATAAGACTGTCTTAGTTACTTTCTTATCACTGGGACAAAATACCCAACACTCGCAAGTTTAAGAAGGAAAGATTTATTTTAGCTTATAGTTTGTAGAGGTTTCAGTCCCTAGTTAGCTGGGTCCAAGGCAGGGCAGCATGGCAGAGGAGCATGGCAGTGAAGAAACATACATGGCACGGCAGACTGAAAGCAATGAGACTTCCTTCTTCTTTTTCTTTTTATTCTACCCAGCCTATTTCTTGATGCCATTCACACCTAGGGTGGATCTTTTCTCTCCAGTAAATCTATTGTCTACACTCAGAACTATGTTAAACCAATCAGTGCAATAACCCAGTATTACACACCCATGGTCAGTCACTTTACTTATGAATGCATGAGGTTTAGGGAGGCATCTAGATGTAAGCCATAACAAATAAGTACCTTAAAAATTTTATGGAAATTAAATAATCACTTATCTTAGGTACTGGCACATCATAAATATAAAATAACTACTAGCTTTTATTTTTAAGTCTAACCAATGTTACCTAGTAACTTTTCAGTAAATGTCTCTGTAAATAAGAATAAGAAATTGATATAATTTTTATAAGTTGAGGAGTACCCTTCATATGGTAATATATCCATACTCAGTGGATTTACAGCTTATGAAGAATAAGTACACATTCCACAGAAGACAAACAGGCCTTCTATTTTTTTATTTTTTTGTACGTATATGTGCTCATGAAACTTTGGGTTATGCTAACCTAGAGTGTGCCCTAATGGCTTCTTGCTGTTGGAGCAATGTTTGTTTGTTCCTCACTATCAGTCCTGGGGAGGCATACAGTGGAAAAAGCAGGCTGTTCATACTAGCCTCTCATGTTCATCTATGCCTAAAGCATCCTCGATGTCCTCCTTCTGCTGTTAAACAATGCAGTTTTTTTTCCAGTGAATGTGACTCTATACCCAATCTCAGACTTTATCCTGGCCAAGTGCAGTAGATGAGGCTGACCAAGAAGGGCCAGGACACAGTCGCCATGGTTAGTTGGTCCTGACGTTGAGATGAAGCCAACATGCTGGGCAGATCTGAGTCTAGCAGGTAGAAGAGAGTAGATTAAAGGCATGACTACAGCAAGTCTATGGGATAAAAAGCTACACCTACAAGTGGAATGAATAGCCGATCAGGAGTCTAAGCATAAGAAATAAAATAGGCAGCTTCTGGAAGTTCTATGATTGGGGAGTGTAGAATGGATCATCAGAATTCCTCTTGTAAGAAGAGGTAAGAGCTGTGGGGTGGGGGTGTACACCTGTAATCCCGGCACTATGCAAACCTGAGGCAGGAGAGATGTAAACTTGAACCCAGCCTAGGCAGTGTAGCAATTTAGCAAGACCCTGTCTCACAACTTTAAAAAAGGCTGGAGATGTAGCTTGGTGCCAAAAGCCCAAGCTCAACCCCAGGTACAAAAATTCCCATGAGCTATCATATGACTTTCATCTTTTCCACTACAGAAAGCCTAAGATAGTTTTGAGGACTCAGGACATAGGTAGTCATTGACTGGGAAAATAGGATGATATTTATCACTAGAACTGGTGAAAAGTTTGTGCCTGAGTCTCAAGACCAAGGCAAAAGCTAGTTAGCAGAACTGTGTGTATCAGAGGATAGATAGGTTTTTATAAATTCACTTTGCTGCAGCTAAGGTTTGAGGTTTAAGTTTTAAAGTCTTGAGTCTTAAACAAATGGATGCAGTCAAACATTCAGGTTGAAGATGGAGAGGAGCAGGAGTAGGACGGGATCTGAGGGTTGCCACGGTTTCTCCACCATGCTATGTTGGTGAACAACTTACTCAACTAGGAAATCAAATAACTGCAAATATAATTATTCAATAATAAATGATTCTATTTATTCTGTATACCTGAATATATAAAGAAATGTATTAGGTTAGTCGTACGCTAAATTATCCCTCTTTCATCTGGTAGGATGCAGAAAAGTTGAGTAATGAACCAACTTTAGTTGGAAATTTTGTCCTGTGTAATCTCTGTTCCAAGCATTACTTTCTCCTCGTATTGGCAAAGTCAAAAGTAGAAATTTTTCCCACAGGGTAGCTGTTAGGAATCGCACTGGTGACTGTTGAGAGTTGGATCTTGATGGAAATCCCCAGAACAGAGATGGTAAGGAGGTCCCTTCAAACCAGGGACATCAGGATTCCTGGCCTTCAAAGAGTGCACCAACCACAGCCTGGCAGGAACCTCAAGTTCTCTGTGAAGGGTATTCTTATCTGACTGTTTCATGGACTGTTAATTATTATTTATTTTGGCCACATTATTTAGCCCATTTTGTCTATAGAATCTTTCACAGAATACAAAAACACAAAAAAAAAAAAACAAAAAAAGAAAACATGAACTGAACCACCAGCAGCGGTAATTAAATTCTCCCCTATGAAATGTTGTTGTTTCACACATTTTGCCAACCATAAGATCTCTTAGATGAATTAGTAGAGAAAATGTTTTCTTGGCAAGGGCAGTGCTCACCACACACAGTTATCTTAGATAGTGGGGCTGTGTGGGGTGTAAAAAAAAAAAAACAAAAAAAGAAAACATGAACTGAACCACCAGCAGCGGTAATTAAATTCTCCCCTATGAAATGTTGTTGTTTCACACATTTTGCCAACCATAAGATCTCTTAGATGAATTAGTAGAGAAAATGTTTTCTTGGCAAGGGCAGTGCTCACCACACACAGTTATCTTAGATAGTGGGGCTGTGTGGGGTGTTGTGGTGATGTTTTTCTTGCTCTGGGGTCAGAGAGGGCAAGAAGCCAAGAAGTAGCCCTTTGAGCCTAACTGCCACAACCTCCCCAATGGTTCCTTAGGGGTGAATCCCATTTGAGAACATACACAGATAGTAGACTGGGGTCCAGCTCTATAAAAAAGGGAATTTCAGAAAAAGGAGGGAAAAAAAGCAACAGAAGAAAGCAGGTACTGATGGGAATGGGGCAACTCTTTCATTTATGATGAGTGAATTGAATAAGACATGAGCAATTAGTAGGCTGTGATCAGTAAAAATGTTTTTTAAAGGTTCCTGCAAAACTATATGTGAAAGAAAGCAACTTAACACTACTCAGCTAAACATGCCCACGTGAACTATAATTCGGCAATAAACAGAGTCACACAACATACTATTATGCTCAGTTTATAAGACACAGTCTCCACAAAAAGTAGCACAAATTACCGTGATTTCTATTCTAGCAGGCCCTTGGGTGGTTGAGTTACGAGGAAAGTTTAATATATAGCACTCTTAGAAAAGCATTGAAAAAGCCTGATTGAATTTTACTCAGGCCTCCTAGGTTTGGGATAATTCTTTCCTTTAAGAGAAAATGAATGGGTATGTTCGGGTTCTTTTGCCTGGAGCTGGAAAAGAGGACATTATTTGAAGATTTTACCGATGCTTCTGTTCCTAGTCCGTGTGCATCTGCCTTTTGCCGTCAGTCCCAAACCACAAGCTTTTAATTTTCTCAGAAGATTAAACCAATATTTACCAGTAAGCCTGCATTTATCCTAAAAACCCTTTACTGGAAACTATTGGTTTCAAGTAAATGCTAGATCTTGTTTAAAACAGTTGCCCCTCCTTTGTAAAGTAGGCAACAGGGAAAGAATGCCTTATTTCTGATAGGAGAAGTAAGAGGAAAATTTTCCATCACTTCTACGAGATGGAGCACTTTTACACTTTGTTTATTTGTCATTCATTTTCTAGGAGTTCTAATTAGTGGGCTGATCTAATAATTCCTAAATGTTAACAAAAAATTATTTCCTGCAATGGTCTTTAGGAGAGTCTGATGTAAAGTTGTGGGAGTTCAATAAAAAAGTGAAAAGAAATCTAGTCTGATATAAATAGGGTAATAAATATGAAAGCACTCACAGTATCAAAAAGGATATTGTTTTCAAAATGACTTGCTATAAACTCTGTGTTTGCCTTAATTCAACTTGTCACTGGGGTAGACAAATGTTCTTTATCAACTTGAGGCCAACGAGCTTCAGCTTCCAAAACAGATATACTATAGAACAGTCTTACAAATTTCTAATAAGGCTTCATCTCATGTTGGTTTGAAATTTTGGCAATTAGTAGAACCTTCCACTAACATAATCCAAAAAAATTCAATAAAATTCTGGAAAAATAGTATCCAAGATCTAAAGGAAAAGGCTACATTTCAAATGTAATCAATCTGGACTGCTGTAAAAAGTCCAAAGAAATCCATAGAGGTAAAGGTCTCATAGCATCATAGTGGTCTCAGAGCAAAGGGAACATCTTAGGCAAGATGATAGGAACCAACTTACATGCGGCCTTTCTAAATAATTCTGATAACTGAGGAAGGCAAGCTCTGGTCAACTGACATGTATTTCTCCTGTATTAGCTGCAAAATTATCCTTCAGAATAAGAAAACTGTGGAAAAAAATTATCTTCTCTTTCCCAGTACCTTGGTCTAGTCCTAAAAACTAACTGGAATTAAAGATTAATTATAGGCCACCAAAAAAAAAAAAATCTCACACTGAAGTGATCTTTGTTGGAAGGTTGCTTAACAGTGAAACATAATCCACCCCACACTTCCACAACAGCCTGGCTTAGGGCAAGGGAGCAAAAGTCCCACAGATGCCTTCCAGATTTCATTGTCTTCTTTCTGGAAAAGACATTGCTGACCCTGAAACTGCAACCTGGGCCAGAAAATGTAGACATAAGTGGCCACCATGATATTTTTCTTTCTTTGTGAGCCAAGCTTACTGCCTTTAGACTATGTGGAAGGTTAACTACAAGATCATGATAAGGCCTCTTTCTTTCACCATGGGGGCCCATGCCCTGAAGATGTGAAAGAGAAGAGGTCTGGTGTACCATTCAGTGAGGGAGGGGAGCCCAGAGACTGAGCTCTACCCTGTCCCTGCAGCCATAGGGGGCCTTTGTCTTAGAAATTAAAGATTTGATATGCAATTTTCAAATTGTGTGACTGTGTTTTGTTCTCTTTGTTCTTAAGTGCTAAAGCTTTTCCTAAAAGAAGATTTTAGGAGGATTCACTGATACAAGACAGATCAAATCAATACAATTTTGGATGCAATTGAGAGCAACTAGAATCCCATCCATATCCCTGGTTCCAGGATTCCTTTGTAACTGTTAGGGATCTTAGATGAGCCTGCACCCAGGACAAACTGATCTTCAGAAAGCCTTCATATTCTAACACTGTTCTCAACTTCATTACACTTTGGAAATCCACTTGTCTGTCTAGGCTCATTTCCTTGTGAGTAAAATGAGATTAGTACCTTCAACGGGAATAAATTATTGTCCAAAAAGAAAGAAAAGTAAACCGCCTGGATGTGGCATCAGAAGAATCATTCTCACCCTGAGACTTCGAAATGAATGTGATACCTGGGGGTTGTCACACTCTGTTAGTTTAAATTCATCCTTTTTTGGATATGAATTTGACAAGGAACAAGCAAAAACTCGATTAAATAACACAGTTACCACTCTCTGTCAAAAACCTCACTTTCCAAACTCAAGAAACAAATATATGTGGAGAGATGTTTGTCACATAAAATTTTATATGTATAAAAGTCTTGTTTTCATCTCAAAGAATTATTATTTCATCTTAAAAGTTTGTTGTAATGGGCTAATGAGCAACTTGATGCAAACGTGCTGAATAAGTTGAATTCTACTCTACTACTAATTATATTTTTAATTATATTTTTATATTTTATTGAAGGAAACTGATATGAAGTTACAAAGTAGCTGACCTCTGCAATACATTCATGACAGTTTATTAAGTAGCCCTGATTCTATCTGTAAGAATTTTTAGGAGCTATTCCACTAGCTATGACTGCATAGAAGTTGGCTTTGATTTCCAAGAGCAGTTCTTGATCATTTGTAGTCTGTAATCAAATATATAATATATCATAAAGCATTTAAAATTAAAATGAAACTTGTATAAAACCCAAGGATATACAGAAAAGAATAAAACTTGACCCTGTACAGTTAAAAAGTTCAAATTCCAGTTGAGAAGCATCATTACTCTAGTGTGAATCCAGGAGGTGTCATAATGAAAGATTCACGTTTAAAGTATCAGAGCTGAGACATTCCAAACCACGGGTTAGGAAAACAATCATTTGGAAATGTTTTCTGGAAAACGTTGGAATCAAATAGAGACTCACAGGGTAGGTGACTGGGAAAGGTGAGGTAGGCTGGATACATGCCCGTGTCCAACAGGAGCACCATGCCTGATGTTGTGTTACTGATTAATGCTCCCCCTCCAACTCAGTTCCTTTCCAGGGGTTCCCCCCTTCCTCGCACATCACTGTGATCTCATAATGAAGGGGATAATGTCCACCATGGTAGGGATATGCATTTATTATCCTTTGGGCTGATAACCATGAATGCAATATTGGTTAAATATTTTTAATAAGTCTTCTATTAGAAGTATTATGTACAGACTGGTTGTCTAGGCAGAGCACCAACCTAACTAAAAGCTTGGAGCTAAGTTATCGGCTTACTGGAGACTGTGTAGGGTGTTTTAGCTTCAGAAAGAAAGAAGCATCACCTCTGCTTCCACAATTCTTTTTTCAAGATGGCGAGCCTGACGGTCACCTCTCTAGTGCATGCGGTTTTCCTTGACCTCAGGGAATTAGCCATATTGTGGTTCTGTCAGTTGTAGTCATTTGGCAGTACGGTAGTGAGCAGGCATGGCTTCTGACTCTTGAAGTTTGGGGCTCAGCAGGGAAGATATACTCTTTCTTGTTCTACTAGCTTCCTGGGCTGCTGTAGCAAATAATCACAAACTTGCTGGGGGGGGTTATGATCTTGAAAGAATGTATTTTCAATTGCTAATCTATCTCTCAACTACTTTTTCATAAAATATTTATAATATTAACAAAGCTTCTGATATCTATTTCACAATATCAATTATACATTTTTGTATTTATTTACACTTTCAGTTTCTCACACCAGAGAGACAATGTGGCATTTACACATGTGTATTCAATTTATTCCACTTTAGAGTCTGGTCTCTTAAGGTACATCCATTTACCTAGAAATGTCTCAAGTTTATCCTTCTTTATGGCTGAATAGTACTCCATTATATATGGTTTTGGGTTTTTTTGGTTTTTTTTTTTTTTTTTTTTTTTTTTTTTTTTTTTTTGGTACCGAGGATTGAACTCGGGTCTTTGCACTTGCAAGGCAGGCCACCGAACTGCTGAGCTAAATCCTCGGCCCCATATGTATTTTTTAAAACCACATATTTTTTATCCATTCATTGGTTGATGGGCTTTTGGGCTGTTTCCAAGATTTAGCTATTACAAACTGTGCTTCTATAACCATGGGTGCACATAAATTGCTGTGGTATGATGCTTTTAACTTGCTAGCTTAAAATATAAAAATGTATTCTTTCAGTTTTGGAAGCCAGAAGTATGAAATCAGTCTGACTGCAGGGCAGTACACTCTCCTAAGGGGCCAGGGAAAAATTCTTTCTCTCCTTTCCCAGGTTTTGGTGTTTCTTGGTTTGGAGCTGCATGAGTGTAATCTTTGTGTCTGTCTTCACATGATCTTAATGTCTGTGTTTATGGCTCAAATCTCCCTCATTTTATCTTGCAATGACACTTGGTGATTGGGCCTACATCCACCCTAATACCAAAACGACTTCATCTGGAGATGTTTAACTTCATTAAATCTGCAAAAGTTATTGTTCCAGATAAGTTTACTCTCACAGGTTCGAGGAGCTAGGACATGGTCATACCTTCTAGGCTACGCTTGCCTTCGAGGAAATTATGGCAGGTTAAGGTGCCAGAGTGGTGTATGAAGTAAGAATGTCCCTCAAGAGGTGGCTGGCCTAGAGTTAAGGATCAAGTAAGGAGTACCTGAGATTAGGCACTCAACAAGTCAGGTAGATTTGGGTGGTGTGAAGAGCTCTCCAGGGTTAATGAGGATGATAGGCACCAGCCAGGGGACGGAAAGTGGAGAGACAGAGGAATTTAGAAGATTCTAGAATGGGGACAGAGAGAAGGCTGAACAAGTAGGTTCTAAAATGTTCCAAAGAGAAATGTGAATTCCAGGACATGTTTTAATAAGGGAAGTGAAAAGATTATATTTTCATCTTCAGAGTGTCACTGCAGCTGCTGTGAGGGAGATGGGTTTGGCAGGAGGCTGGAGAAGTCTTGAGGAAATCCACTGCAGGTGACTGAAGTATTCTGAGGGAGAGAGGACAGAGGCGTACACAACTGTGGGATCTGTGGAAATAGAGATAGGTGGGTTTCTTTGATAAATATGTGGGAAGCAGAACAGACAGGATTTAGCCCTATCTGAATGTGGAGGTTGAAGGAATATTAAAGCCTAGACTGATAACAGTTTCCAACCTGAGGAACTGGGTACATAATATTTCCATTTACTGACATAGGAGACGGTAGAGTGGTGGGCCTTTGTTTCTTTGGTCTAAGGAGACATTATTTAGGTTTTTTTTTCTTTCACAATGAGGAACTGGACCCCTTTGGGGCTTGGATGATTCAACAAGATTAAACAGAAGTGGCCTCAGGGCTCAGAAAAGAACTAATGGTTCTTAATGTCCAGTGTTTTTCTTTTTGTTTTTGCTTTTTTCTTTTCACCATCCACTGGACTCTCTTTCCTTCCTTTTATCTGAACCTACATCTGGTTGTTGTTACTGGATTTTGTTTTTGAGATTCAAGAATAGTTCTAAATGCATAAAGCACTGTTTATTTAGTAGAAGAGATACCCTCCATTTATTGCATTTGCACCTCCTCCTCTGAAGTTCCAAGTTCCCCTTGTTTGCTACCCACACTTTCAGAGATTCCTTTCTACTGCGATGCTGGGTACAGGAATCAGGCTGAGCTATTTTTGTATTACCATTGCCATATAGACCTGGAGTTCAGCATCACTTGTAACATCTCTTCTTCAAGGATACTCTTGGTAAGTCATTTCCATGTCAAACTCCACATGCTATTTCTTATATCTGCTCTCTACCTGTTTCACTTTTTAACTCCTCAATTCACTTTAAGGATTGCTATTATGGTACTAGTTTATAAAACTTCTTGATGTTTTACTAACTCTCCTACCACGTAAAAGCAATTAAAAGCAAAGAATGGAACATTTACTTACAAAAGGACAACAATAAAATCTGCTTCTTACTTAAATTGTAGGGCTCTAGTTATTTCCTGGATGAAAACTGCTCTATCTTTTTCAAGGGTTTCACTTATAGTGTTTGCAATCATTACCTCATCTTCAAGTAACAAAACCTCTAAGGAGTGTCATCTTGCTTTATTCTATTCTCAAGGATCTGCGTTATTTAACACTACTTGATTTTTAATAGCAAAACATGTTTAATACTCTAAGATTAAGTCATAAGTAATATTCTATTTGCAAACCCTATTGGAATTAGGAAAACGATATGCCAGGAAGGGTTATAAGACAAAATTTAGGGAATTTTCACTCTATCTTTAGAAAGAGGTCTGATTGTTTAACTAGTTATTGTCACCACACTTTGCAGTAATCTCTTAATTTGGTTTTCATTGGCGTTGTGCTTTAATATGGCTCTACTAAGAATGTGGGAGGTAATAATTTTGATCAGGATACCAAGACTTACAATTGTGTAAATTTCTGAAGCCATGGTTATATAAAAATACACATCTCCTATTTACATTTACATCTGCAAGGCAGTCCAGTGTGTGTGACACCTTCTCTTGGTTTTCCTAATGGAAGACATAGGATGAACAAGAACAGTTTTAAAAACTGTTAAATTTAACAGTTTTAAAAACTGTTAAAACCTGAATTGTCTGGATTGCCAGATCATTACCAATAACACAGAAAGACTAGAAAATTACACAGAGCCGTGAGAAGCCCTGGAGCAGGAGCTCTGCCTTCATTTGCCCTGTAAAGTCAGAGCACATTACACTAGGGAATGAACCAGACTTAAAATACCTTGGGCCATACATTTTCCTTGGTTCTGGTCAGCCAGATCAGTGAGATGAAGGAACAAGGATGACTGCTCAAAAATCATGTTTTGAAGTGAACCCATTTGGGCCAACATTATTTCCTCCTACACAACACACGACAAACAAAAAAGATTTGGAGGAGATAACAAAGCAGAATCTTCTGTTTTTTTTTTTTTTTTTTTTTTATATATATATAAAACTTAGAATTCTGGTAACCTACATATGACAAAGGAATAAACATTCCCCTTGGAAATAGGAGTTTAGAGGTCATCTTACCTAATGTGAATTATAGATCTATGTCCTCACAACTTCCTTCCCTCCTGAAGAAGAGTTAATGGGTACTGTAGGCACTTCCAGGATAAACAAGAAAATGGCCGTCTTCCCTCAGTGGTACCATTTATCGCTTGGCCTCAGACTTCCTTTCATTCTGTGAATTGTCAGGGTATTTTGTTGACTTTCCTTTTGTATTTTCTTTTCTTTTCTGTCATATCGATGTAGTATCTACCATGTGCATCCTCTACCTGCAAGGGAAATAGAGGTTCTTAGCACACCTTCTGTGAGAAACTTACATTCTTGTAGATAAATGGAGTGCAAAATTGTGGAACACAGCTAAAAGGTAATATACAGCCAATGGGGATCAAAGACAGGTCATAGCTTCATGTCAAGGAAAATCATATAGAATTGGTCTCAGAAGTGGAAAAGGATTTTATAAGCCAATATTGTGAGGGAGCAATGGGAGTTTTATGCTCAGGAAACACAAGGAGGCAAAGGTATGGTTGCAAGATGTAATACATCAATAAGGCATGCTCAGTAGTCAGGTATGGAAGCTGTAGAAGGGAAAGTTGAGACTTAAGGCTTAAACATTTGAGAAGGGTACCCTGAGATCATATACTGAGGGAGGACTGTCTGAGCAGAATCAGGCTGTGACCAAACAGGTTCTTTTATAGCAGTGTCAAAGGGCTGACCGAGAAGAACGGAAAATCAGATCTAAAATTTTGTATAGGTATTAAAATAGGGGAAGAGAGCTAGACCTGCAGCTCTTGACAACTTGTTAGTGCAAAGAAAAATGTAGCCAAGTTCTTTTTCACTTATGGTCTCAGAGCTAGGAAGTGGATAAGCATGGATAAGTGACTTTGGTTGGAATTCTGAGATTTTGAGCTTCTGTAACTTAGTAAACCTTATTTCCATTAATGGGAAGAGGAGAATATGAAGCACAGGCTGCTCTGGATCTCCGTAATGATATGTATTTCTTAAACATTAATTTTAAAGTGCTGGTGATATCCTCAGGTGGGAATGTTCAAGAGGCA